TGTCCTTGGTACAGTGCCATGGTGTCAGCTCACAGCAACCTCCAACTCCTGGGCTTAGGCGATTCTCTTGCCTTAGCCTCCCAAGTAGCTGGGACCACAGGCACCTGCCACAGCCCCCGGCTATTTTTTTGTTGCAGTTTGGCCGGGGCTGGGTTTGAACCCACCACCCTTGATATATGGGCTGGCGCCCTACTCACTGAGCCACAGGCGCTGGCTGAAAGTCCTAGCTTTTTAACTCCTCTCAGTGTACTTGATTTACCAGATACAGGGAAATTCTTAAAAATTACTTTTTAAAGTGCTACTAAGCCCTGGAAGCAAGACTTCAGACATAAAGGTGCAGTCGTTCTCTATGAGCATTGCGTATACCCCGAATTTTCCTGGGTAATTCTGATTTATAACAGTCATTCCTCTGATAGACTTTGCACTGCTAAATTTTGTTATAAAAAATGTGTTCACAATATATGCAGCTAATAGCTACACTTCTTATGCTACTTTTCCCTGAACAGAATGAAAAGGCTAGTTTGGACGCTTTTGGTGTGCTGCTCTGCAATGGCACAGCTGCATAGGGACCCTGCCCTGGACCACCACTGGCACCTCTGGAAGAAAACCTATGGCAAACAGTACACAGAGAAGGTAGATGGGATTTTCACTCTAGTAATATGCTTTTACACGAGGACCCTGTTTTCTACCTCTCAAATTTATGTTCTGACAGTGTTTCTGTAAGTATGATGCACTCAATTCTTGCCAGATAGTGCTCTCAGGACCACACACCAGGAAACAAAATCCAGTTCCTTAGCACTCTGGGAGCTTGAGGTGGCAGGATCACTTGAGCCCAGCAGTTTGAGACCAGCCTGAGCAAGAGTGAGATTCTGTCTCTACAAAGAAATTGGAAAACTTAGCCAGGTGTGGTGATGCACACCTGTAGTCCCAGCTACTTGGGAGGGCTGGGGCAGGAGGACAGCTTGAGCCCACCTTGGGTTTGAGGTTGCTGTGAGCTGTGATGAGGCTGCTGAGGTATAGCCAGGATGGCAGAACGAGACTCTGTCTCAAAAAAGAAAACAGCAACCAAGTTCCTGTTATTATGGAGCTTATATCAGAGAGAAAGATAGGAAATAAGAAAATAAATAAGCAGCTATGGGACATGTTATATGGAAATAAGTGCAGAGGAGAAAAATGAAGCAAGGCCTGGAGGGTAAGAAGGGCCCTGAGTGGTGGCAGTAAGAAGTCTGTAGATATGATGAGATAGTTAGCAATTTCCTCACAAATAACGTGACATGAGCAGAGAATTGATGGAAGCAGGCAAGCAAGCAAAATAAATAATGAAGGTAAGGTCCCAGGCTGTGGGAAGATGAATGGACGCCTCTGAGGAAGGGGCACATCTGGCAGCTGGAGAAGCAAAAAGGCCTCACTGCAGCCCCTGGCACACTGAAGCCCTGCCAGATTCTGTTTCCTGACTCTCACTTCCCACTTTGGGCTTTTGTTATTTCAAGCTGTACTTGTTGATTAACTTTAAGACCTTAACCTTATTGCTTCAAGTAACTAAGTCCTATAACTATAATATTTCTATGTTTGTAAGCTAGCCGTAGATATTTATGTATTTGGTGTATTACTTACGTATAAAAATGACACTCTTAGTAGGTCATGTGCTCGGAGTTTTCTTTTTATTTATCTGTAATTAAAAAATAATAATTGTATATATTTATAAGGTACAGTGATACCTTTATATAAGTATACAACACAGAATAATTAAATTAGGCTAAATAACATCACCATCTCACATACGTATCCTGTCTTTGTGGTGAGAACATGTAAAATCTACTCTTGTAGTCTGGGTGTCAAGGCTCACGTCTGTAATCTCAGCAATTTAGGAGGTCTGTTTGAGGCCAGGAGTTCAAGACAACCAGGGCAACATAGTGATACCATGTCTCTACAAAATTAAAAATTAAAATTAAATCTACTCTTTCAGTAATTTTGAAATATATGTTATTAACTATACTCACCATTCTCTGCAATTGATCACTAGACCTTATTCCTCTAGTCCAACTGAAGCAATGCACCCTCTGACTAACATTTGCCAGTTCCCAGTCCACTCTCCTCCCAGCCTCTGGTAAAACACCATTCTACTCTCTACTTCTATGAGTTATCTTTTTTAGATTTCACATGTGAGATCCTACATTATTTGTCTTTCTGTACCTGGCTTGTTTCACTTAACATAATGTCTTCTAGATTCATCCATGTTGTTGCAAACGCCACAGTTTCCTTTTTTGAGGCTAAATAGTATTCCATTATGTATATATACCACATTTACAAAATCCATTTATGATTTTGGGGTTGTTTTAGGATATAAAAGTATAAACTTTATTTTCTCTAAGAAAGAGTAGGAGTGAAAGAGGGAAAGAGAGGAGAGAGCAAGTTATTGGTGTGGCATCCCAAAGAACAAAAGGAAGGACAGAATCTCCATTTATGTTTTGATGGACACCTAGATTGAGTCTACACTTTGGCTACTGTGAATAACGCTGTAATGAACATGGAACTGCAGATATCTCTTTGACACATGGATTTCATTTCCTTTGAATGAATCTAGAAGATTGTTGAATCATATAATTCTATTTTTAGTTTTTTGAGGAGCCCCCACATTGTTTCCGAAATGGCTGTACTGATTTACATTCCCACCAACAGTATAAGAGGGCTCCCTTTTCTCTATGTCCTCTCTAACACTTATCTTTCATCCTTTCCATAATAGTGATTCTAATGGATGTGAGGTAATATCTCCTTGTGGTTTTTATTTGCACTTCTCTGATGGTTTGTGAAGTTGAACTTTTTTTGTGTGTGTGTTACTTACTGGACATTTGTTTGTGCCTGCTTTTGAGACATGTCTGTTAAGGTTCCATCCATTTCATGTAGGGTTATTTGTTTTCTAGTTATTGAGTAGTTTGAGTTTCTTCTATATGTGTGATCTTAGCCCCTTATCGAATGTATGATTCACAAACATTTTTTCACAATCTATGAGTTGGCCCTTACTTCTGTTGTTTGTTTTGTTGTGTAGAACTTTTCAGTTTGATGCAGTCCCATTTGTCTATTTTTGCTTTTATTGCCTCTGCTTTTGGGGTCATATCCAAGAAATCATTGCCCAGACCAATGTTGTAGATATTTTCCCTTATGTTTTCTTCTTATAGTTTTATAGTTTCAGGTCTTATGTTTAAGCTTCAATCCATTTTGAGTTGATCTTTTTTGGTTTTTTTGACAGTCTCACTCCATTGTCCCAGGCTAGAGTGCTGTGGTGTCATAGTTCACAGCATTGAGTTGATTCTTGTATGTTGGGTGACATAAAGGTTCAATGTCATCCTTCTGCACATGGATAGCCAATTTCTCCAATACCATATATTAAAGAGATAGTCTTCTTCTCATTGTGTGTTCTTGACACTTTTGCTCAGATTGGTCTCAAATTCCTGACCTCAAGCAATCCTCCCATCTCAGCCTCCCAAAGTGCTAGAATTATAGGCATAAGCCACTGTACTTGAACTGTTGAAAGTTTTTATCATGAAGGTTATTGAATTTTGTCAAATGCTTTTTCTGCCTCTGTTGAATTGATCGTATGGTTTTTTTAGTGGTGATGAATTAACTACTGTTAATTAGGTGGGCACTTAGCACCAGTATTTGGTAAAATGGATGCCCTCCTTTTTAATAATTCTAATCCCTCAAGAGGAATGAACAAGACTTTTGATTAGCATTCTACCTTTATAATTTATCTCAAAGTTCTCATCTTTTTCCATTTTCCGTACTCAGATTTTTCTTTATTTCATTTTTTTTTCCATCTAGTGATTTGAAATATGCCCACCATCCATGCCCATTATGTTCATTAATAGAAACAGTGAAATCTTGCTCCAAAGGAGAGAGGTGGACATCCAGACGTGCTCCTGGTACCTAGGGTCCAGACATGGGCTTTCCCACTCACTGAAATAAGGAAGAACACAGTTGTTGCTGGCTGCTCACCAAGGCTGCAGCTCACTGGAAATTCTGGCCATGGTGGTGGTGGTCGGGCAACTTTTGTAGGAAGCACCATATATATTGCATTCTATGTACATTGTATTCTGTAGAAATGAATTTCCTATGGATAAGAAAATCAGGCTCGGCGCCTATAGCTCAACCGGCTAAGGCGCCAGCCACGTACACCTAAGGTGGCGGGTTCTAATCCCCAGCCTGGACCCGCCAAACAACAATGACAGCTGCAACCAAAAAATAGCCGGGCGTTGTGGCGGGCGCCTGTGGTCCCAGCTACTTGGGA